CCAGCTCATGCCCAAGCCCCTTCCTCTCCCATAGTCCAGCCCGCTCATCACAAGGAAGGTAATAAGCGCTACTCCCCTCTGCACTGAGCCCCAGCCTGGGAATACTGCCAGCACCAACAGCCACGGCTGACTTCTCACCCTCACTCAAAAAGATAAAATTCTGCCAACACAAATCCCGCCCAAGATCTGCTTTCCTTTTTTTTTTTTTTTTTTTTTTTAATATGTGCCCATTTCCCCCAGCACTGTGGAGAAGTAGGGGCCAAAGATGAGGGCTTGATTTGTAGCAAGGGAACACATGCACATCTCTGTCTACCTGCAATGGATCTGGGCTCCCAGAGACTCTGGAGGGACCCACTGATTGACCAGCAGTTCCCCCTCCCTGCCCAGCCCTTCTTGCCCCATGGCACAAATTGGCGGGCTGGCCCTGTCTCCTCCACAAGTCACTCTCCAGGGCGAAGCCAACAGAAATTTATCTTTGACAAATTTGTCTATAGAAATTCCCCTATCTTCTCCCTTTTGGGGAAGAGAGTGAGCTCGCAAAGGCAGTGTAGCATGGTGGTCAGGAAACCTCAGCCCAGGAGCCCAAATGTCCAGGTTAAGTCCCAGTCACGTGTTCATCAGCTGTGTGGTCTTGAACAAGTTCCCTAACCTCTCTGTGACTCTGTTTCATCATCCGTGAATTATTAGTATCTTTTCCACCCTGTTGTGATAAAGTGAGTGAACACTGTAAAAGTGCTTGGAACGGTGTCAAAAGTGCAGTCTGTGCCCAATAATTGTTAGCTACCTCCTTGAAGACATAAGGCCATGCGGGCAGAAATTTCTATCTGTTTTGTTCATTGCTGTTTCCCCAATCTCTAGAATGGTTCCTGGAACACAGTAGGTTTCAAATGGAGACTGGATGAATAATATTTAATGACTGCACCTCCTGTCAGAGCTGACTAAGCCTGGAGGGTATGCCCTTGAAGGTGGGGGGGGGGGCTGAGAAGGCCTCGCAATCAGTGTGTGGAGTTTCTCTCTGGTTGGAAGCAGTGTCGCTGCCCCTGCCTCTGCTTAGAGCCTCCACCTAGAATCGGCTGGCGTCACAAAGTAAGCGTCACCTGTCTGCAGAGGTGGGAAAAGAGATATGAAGTTCACCTGCTTTTACACAGCCTTCCCTTCATCAGCACAAAGACAACACCCTCATGGCAGCTCAGTGTGGTGTCAGGCACTGAGGTCAGATCTTCAGGTTCAAATCCCACTGCGCTACTCACGAGATGTTTGACCTTGGACAAATGACTTAACCTCTCCAAGCCTTCCCTCACTTGTCAAAAATGAAAATAGAGCCGGGCGCGGTGGCTCACGCCTGTAATCCTAGCTCTCTGGGAGGCTGAGGCAGGTGGATTGTTTGAGTTCAGGAGTTCGAAACCAACCTGAGCAAGATCGAGACCCCATCTCTACTATAAATAGAAAGAAATTAATTGGCCAACTAATATACATAGAAAAAATTAGCTGGGCATGGTGGCGCATGCCTGTAGTCCCAGCTACTCGGGAGGCTGAGGCAGCAGGATTGCTTGAGCCCAGGAGTTTGAGGTTGCTGTGAGCTAGGCTGACGCCACGGCACTCACTCTAGCCTGGGCAACAAAGCAAGACTCTGTCTCAAAAAAAAAAAAAAATGAAAATAGTATCTAGCTTACAGCGTTGCTTTGAAGACTAAATAGCATAACGAGTTTGTAAAGCACTTGGAAAAGTGGCTGGCACACAGTCAACTTTCAACAGACACCTGGATTTGGAGAGGGACTGGGTGGAGGACCCGAAAGGACAGATGGGAGGGCCCAAGGGGCTGCTCCGCCTGCTCCTCAGCTCTGCTGTGCAAAGGATACCACCGGCCAAGCAACCACTGCCAGACATAATCATTTCTTAAAGGCCCCACCCCACCTCCTGGGAATGAGGACCCTTGCCCTCCACGCCCCTGCTCTGAGCCCAGGACCTGGGCTGGAGTCACCTTGCCATAGGCACAGCGCTCCTTGGGAAGGGTTCTTTCCCTAGAAGACTTAGCGCTTGGACGTCAGCACCAACGCAGGATGAGTTCTGTGATCTTACTGCCTAAATTCACCTTTGCACAACCTTCCGCTGTGCAGCACTATCTCACCTTCTCCCTCCACCACGTTCCATCTCCTGCCCAGGCTTTCGAGCCATTCCCATCCTGTTGCTGCTCCCTCTCTCCACCCCATACTCCGCCCTGTCCAGGAGCTCTGCCCCGTCCAGCGCCCACCCCAATCTCAGAGCTCTGCTGCCCGCAGGACTGTTTCATCTCTTGCCCTCTCAGTAGAGGCTAAGTCCTCCTCCCTCAAACTAGATCACCTCTGAGGGCCAGAGCTTTCTCCCCTCACCTAAGTGGCCCTCAGGAGCAAGGGCTGGGCCCCGCTCAGCGGGCAGCTTATTCAAGGCAGGGGCTCAGACTCCCTACTGGGGTGGGGTGGCTCTGACCCTCTCTCCAGACCCTGGTGCAGGCCTCTAGCCACAGGGTCTTGAGAATGTGGAGGAAAGGAGGCAGCACGCCCTCGTTCTAGCTCCCCAGGGAGCGAAGGTTGGGAGGAAGTGGGGAGGGGAGCCCACTCTGCCAGCAAAGAAAAGAGACGAGCAGGGCCACCTTTAAATTGCTGCCAAGCCACGAATTCACTGGGCTTCCATCTGGCTTCTGATATGGGGTCTGACCTCAGTTCCAACTCCAGAGGCTCCAGTGGGACTGATAGTGGCCACGGCCTCGGTGAGATCTGCTGTGGGCCCAGGGCCCCCGAGCCTGGCATAGCAAGCCTCCTCCAAGGCCATCCTCCTGGTTTCATCCACTGTGGCTCTCGCGGAAGCACAAGGAAGAAGATGGGAATTACTATTAATATTTACTCAGGTTTTCCTAACTGTGGGCCTTGCCTACACTGCCTCGCATTACCCAATTATTTCCAGGCCATTTCTGGATATTCTGAATGGTCTAGAAAAGAAGAGGCAACCCCCCACCCAACTCTTTCTCCAGGCAAAGTTCTACCAAACCCATCCACTAAGAGTGGCTCCCCCTAGGACTTTGTCTCTGGCGCCCACCTAAGAGCTAATGTGGACATGATCTCCCAATCAGCAATCGCTGGTGAGCTACTCAGTGCCAGGACTAACCCAATTAATACTGGGACTCTCCCTCCCCCCGCCCCACCACCTCCCTCATCAACTTGGCTGAATTTGCACAAAGGATTCACAAATCTGACTACAGAGGCTGCTATAGGTTTTCATAAAGGACTCAACCTAGGGATTTAATGGAAGCGCCATATAGAAGTCTTCCCAGAAATTTTTACCAGAGACATTTCTACTCCTTCCCCCTGTCCCAACACAAAAATCTTTTCAACTGTCTCATCCGATTCCCTTCCCAATCACTCTCCTGATCCGCTCTGTCCTTCACCACCTTGCCATTCCTAGCCAATAGTAGCCATCGGGACCTTCCATTCATCTAGCCACTGCCCGGCACCCCGGAGAGCAGGGGCACTTAGCAGCGCCATGGTCTGCCTCCTTCCGCCATCATGGGCCACGTGCAGGGGGCCTGTCCCCGTCGGCTTTGCCCTATCACTGCAATGTCCCCACTTGGCTGAAGTTGACATCTGACGACATGAAGGGGAGGATTTACAAGCTGGCAAGAAGAGGCTGACCCCCTCACAGATAGGTGTGATCCGGAGGGACTCGCATGGCGTTGGGCAAGTGCGTTTTGTGACAGGCAATAAAATCTTGAGCATCTTTAAGTCAAAAGGACTTGCTCCTGATCTTCCTGAGGATAACCACCATCTCCACCAATTATTGAAGAGAGCAGCTGCTGTTCGAAAACATCTTGACAGGAACAAGAAGGACGAGGATGCTGATTTCTGTCTGAGGCTGATGGAAAACTGCATTATTGACTGGCTCCATATTACAAGACCAAGCTACTAATAGTTCTTCCTCCCAACTGGAAGTGTGAGTCATCCACAGCCTCTGCCACGGTTACATAAATTCGTCTATGAACTTAAGTAATGAAAAAGTCAGTTGCATTTCTATATACTCACAGCAGTTAGGAAAAAATTTAATGCTGCCCCTTGTTATAGAACAAAAAATTGAAATATCTAGGAATCAGCCTAACAAAATAAAGGTGGTTCCTGAGTTATCAACAAGATATGTTCCAGAAGGCATCTTTAGGTTGGATTTGTATATAATTCGGATCCCTGATAAACAGCACAGATGTGGTAATAATAATAATAATAACAATACAATGATTGTTCTTATGTGGTAACAATAATACAGTGTAATATTGTCCTAATAATAATAAAATCCATGTACTGTGATAATACATTACAAAAACTGTTGTGCTCTTTCAATTCAAACAAACAGAACATAAAAACAAACTCATAAAAAAAAGTTTAGATAGGAGATAAGAGAAATTTCAAAAGAGAATATTAAAGGTTAGCACTCACCTAATGTTGCATCAATGTCTTGCTTACCGGAAGGGGCATTTTTGAGGCAAGAGGGTAGCTGACATTAATGGGAAGGTAATGATGAAGATGGTGCTGGGGAGGATGGAGTGGGTGCTGGGGAATCAGGATTTGAGTCTGTTATGGGAGAAGGGAGTTTACCACTGAAGTTGGTTTCTTGAAAAAGGTATCTGTTTTTTTCATCATAAATGGACTTGCAGCAGATGATGTTCTCAATAACTGACGGTAAACCTTTGCAAAGCACTCAATAGTAGAGTCTTGCTCCCCAAGCTTAGCAAATCCTGCTTCAGTGAGAAGTGGTCTTCAGCTAATTCTTTTGTCATAAACTTTCTTGGCTCTGGATCTTCTGATTCTTAGTATTCTTGTGTTTCTATGAGCTGATTCTCTATCTATGAGACCAGCCGCTAGCACCTAAAGATGCTATGGCAAGGAACCACTTATGCCATGCGGGTTTGTTTACACGCGTGGAAGAAACTAGTTCCCAAATTATTAATGTTATTATTTCATTATAAATTATCCTTACAGGGAGCCGTGGGAGCCCATTTGTAAGTACGGAGCATCGTAAGTCGGGCCATCTGTAACGCAGGGACTGTCTGTACATCAGTTCTGAAATGTATGTGGAAGAGCCTAGGTAATTTGGAAGATGAGCACCACGGTGGACGTGCCCAACCAGAGTTACTGTAAAGCAGAGGAAGACATTGAAGTCAAGGCGCAGAGACAGAGAAGCAGAAGGAAAGTGAGATCCCAGAAATGGACCTGCACGTAAATGGAAAGGTGATCTGTGAGGCGCTGGGTCGGGGGGATTGCAGATCCATGGGAAGTGACAGCCTCCTCAGCGGGGGCACAGGGATAATTAGTTAGCCAGCCATAGGGAGAAAAAACAGAAGTCAATTTCATTCTACATTACACAGTATGCAAAAATAGATTCCAGCCGAGTTAAAAACTTAAATTTTTTTAAAAAACTTTAAAACTTTTAGAAGAAAATATAGAAAAAGATCTTTATGACCTCAGGGTAGTAAAGATTTCCTTAAGAAGGGTGAAAAGAAATATAACCTAGAAAAGACAAGACTTTACTACATTGAAATTTAAATTTTATGTTCATCAAAAGACACCATTAAAAAATACAAGCCATAAACTGGGAGAAAATGTTTATTACACATGTAACAAAATGTAGAAAGACTCCTACGTATTTTAACATGAGATAGACAAACAATACAACAGAATAAGAAGGAGCAAGTCGCAGAAGAGGAACAATAGAAAATGCAAGTTTCAAGTGTATCATTGAGATACCAGATTAGGAAAAATTTTTAATCTGACAAGTAGGATTTCAAACAACAGAAATTCATACACTACTAGGGGGAATAAAAATTTCCAAAACCCCTTTGGAGAAAAATTCAGCAATATCAAATATAGTCAGAAACACATATTCCCATGACTTGCTGAGAATCCTTTGCACATGTTCTCAAGGAAATGTGTGTAGGAATATTTATGGGATCGTGTTTATAACAACAAATAAAAGGAAACAGTCTATCTGCCAGGACACATGAATAAATAAGAGAATGGATAAAGGGCACAGAATTCATAAATGAAATATAATAAATTAATATAACATAGTACTATGTAATTGTGAAAATTAATGAACTAGCATTATATATATGAATGTGGTAATCTCATAAAGATAATGACAAACAATGATAAATCAAGTTTCATAAGGGTAAAGTTTCAAAACAAACAGAGCAACACTAAATATGCAAAGTAAATGATTAACACTAAATTCAAGATGTCTGTTTCTTTGGGTGTGGTAGAATAGCACGGTGAGATCAAAGAAGATTGAACTGTATTTGTAATGACATAGCTTTTTTATAATTGTGGCAAAATACACATAACATGAAATTTATCATTTTGACCATTTTTAAGTGCACAGTTCAGTGGTATTAAGTAAATGCACACTTTTGCACAACCATCATCCCTATCTCTGGAACTCTTTTAATCTTGCAAAACTGAAACTCCATTAAATTAACTCCATTCCCCCCTCAACCCCTGGCAACTACCTTTCTACTTCTGTCTCTGTAAATTTGATTATTCTGGGTATCTTACATAAGTGGCATCATACAATATTTACCTCTTTGTGACTGGCTTATTTCACTTAGCACAATGTCCTCAAGTTTTATCCAAATTGTAGTATGTGTCAGAATTCCCCTGCCTTTGAAGACAGAATAATATTCCGCTGTATGTATATACCACATTTTGTTTACCCATTCATCCATGGATGGACACTTGGGTTGCTTCCACTTTTTGGCTATTGTGAATAATGCTGCTATGAACATGAATATCTCTTTGAGACTCTGCTTTCAATTCTTGTGGATATATACCCAGAAGTGAGAATCCTGGATCATATGGTAGTTTTATGTTAAATTTTTTGAGGAACCGTCATACTGTTTTCTACAGTGGCTGCACCATTTTACATTCTTACCAGCTGTGAGCAAGGCTTCCAATTTTTCCACATCCTCACCAACACTTATTATTTTGTAATAATATGCAAATATGCAAATGATGTTATTTTGTATTTGTATTACAAAATGACACCCACTTTAGTGGGTGTGATGTGGTATTTCATTGTAGTTTTGATTTCCATTTCCCTAATGATTAGTGATGGTAAGCATCTTTTCACATGCTTACTAACTTAACCGTTTGTATATCTTCTCTGGAGAAATTTCTATTCAAATCCTTTGCCCATTTTTTAATCAAGTTGTTTTGTTGTTCTTGTCATAATTTTGTTGTTGAGTTATGGGAGTTGTTTATATAATCTAGATACAAACCTCTTGTTAAACATATGATTTGCAGATACTTTGTCCCATTCCATGGGTTGTCTTTTCACTCTGTTGATTGTGTCTTTTGATGCACAGAGTTTTTAATTTTGATTTAGTCCAATTTATCTATTTTTTTATGTTGTCTGAGCTTTTGGTGTTACATCCAAGTAATCCTTGCCAAATCCAGTGTCATTAAACTTTTCCCCTCTTGTTTTTTAAAAGTTTTATAGTTTGAACTGTTATGTTTAGGTCTTTAGTAAGTGTTTAAATCTTAAACTTGTGAGGAATTAGGCATTCCTTGTGTTATTTGTCATACTGTGGTGTTGTAAACTCACCCCAAGGGCCATTCGGAATACAGCACTAGGCTAGCTAAAGGGAAGCCACTGCGCTTTCAGCTTGTTCTGTCTTAAAGGTTCAGAATTAACCTGCTGTTTGCTTACACAGCTGCCAGGAACGAGATTGGAAACCGACCTTGAGGAAAAACAGATCGAGAGTCTGGACAGGGCCAGCTGCAGGCTACTGATGACAAGATCTGCCAGATGACCTAGTGCTTGCTGATAACCCTCACAAAGCTTGCTGTCTGCCACCACGCTGCCCCTTCCCTTTTTAAGCTGCTCAGCAAGCAGAGGGGATGAGATGGTCTTTGAGACAATAATGCACCATCTCCTCAGGCTGCTAGCACTTGAATAAACCTTTCCTTCACCAACTCTTGCATCTTGGGGGGCAAGTGGCCAAACCCACATTCAGCAGCAGTGAGAGTGAGTGAGTGTGTGTGTGTGTGTGTGTGTGTGAGTGAGTGTGTGTGCGTGTGTTGTAGGTCCTCTTTTGCTCTGCCTGCTTCTCGAGGACTAGATGAAGTGAGGTCCAGTCAAGTTCTCTTTGCCGTGGTCTCCAGCAAACTACCTGGAAGATCACTTTGTGTCTATCTTACTGAGGCTGTTGCCTTCTTCTCTCTCTCCGTAGAGTTTTACTTAATTGCATATTTCAAAATAGCTAGAAGAGAAGAATTGTAATGTTCCCAACACAAGTGGTGATCTAGCACCTCTTGTATTATCCTGGATTGAGCTGGAGCCCATTCTACTAAGTGAGGTATCATAAGAATGGAAAAATAAGCACCATATGTACTCACCATCATTGGTATTACCAATACTTTGGTATTACATTGGTATTACCAATACAAAGTGACCAACACTTAAGTGCACATATGGTAGTAACATTCATCAGGTGTCAGGCAGGTGGGAGGAGGGGAGGAAGGGATGAGTATATTCATACCTAATGGCTGTGATGCGCACCGTCTAGGGGATGGACACTCTTGAAGTTCTGACTCTAGTGGGGCAAAGGCAATATATGTAACCTAAACATTTGTACCCCTATAATATGCTGAAATAAAAAATAAAACTAATAAATTGGTTGATAGAATGAAAAAAAGATAACTATTTGAAGTGATGGATATCCCAATAACCCTGATTTGATCATTATACATGTATGCATGTATCAAAATATCCCATGTACCCTAAAATATGTTTAAGATAAATTTAAAAACAATGGAGAGCTTTGCCCCCATCCAAGTACTAACCACCCAGAACACCAACAGCCTCTGAGCTAATTACTGGGAGTCAGACAGACCAGCATATGGGTAGAAGGGGATTCCCCTTCCAGCTCCCTCCCCTGAGTCTCCTGCACGACTACAACACTTGGCCTAGAGTCATCAGGAAAGAAATCAGACAGGGCTGGGCCTCCTCGTGCAAAAGTTTTAGGACAGTATGGAAATCACAGTTTAGAAATCTCTGGAAAGTGGCACACCCTAGAAGGAAGCCCAGACATGCCAGTGTCTTTATTGCATTAAAATCACATGTGCCGGCTGAACGCGGTGGCTCACGCCTGTAATCCTAGCACTTTGGGAGGCCGAGGCATGAAGATTGCTTGAGCTCAGGAGTGTGAGACCCCGTCTCTACCATAAATAGAAAGAAATTAGCCAAACAACTAAAAATAGAAAAAATTAGCCGGGCATGGTGGCTCGTGCCTGTAGTCCCAGCTACTCGGGAGGCTGAGGCAGTAGGATCACTTGAGCCCAGGAGTTTGAGGTTGCTGTGAACTAGGCGGACACCATGGCACTCTAGCCCAGCCAAGAAAGTGAGGCACTGTCTCAAAAAAAAAAAAAAAAAAAAAATCACATGTGCCAAATGCGAGGCTTATGATGCAAGACTCTGCTCTTAAACACAAGGCCAGACAAGAAGTCGAGGTCAGGTTTGAGGAGTGGTATAAGACAGGCAAGAACAAGTGCTTCTTCCAGAAGCTGCAGTTTTAAATGGTTTTTGTTTCAGTCATTAAACATTTAAAATAAAAATAGTGCTAGAGATTCTGCCCAGGCATGAAATGGGAGATGGGAAACCACAGATCCTGGGGCCATCTTGGTTCCCATGGAGGATCATCTCAATGAACTGAGATAATGTCACTGATAAAGGCACATGTTCATCGTATAATATGACACCTCAGCACAAACCAAGTGCCTTATCTGGCGCTCATCTCAGGAACTAGTCACCTTTCTCAACAACTGGAAAACATGGCTATGTTAGACTGGTTAAGAAACAGTATGTCCGAAGCCTGCCCTCGGCCAAGCCGGTCCCCTCCCCACAGCAACACGGCTTCTCTTCCTCAGCGCGGCGACCAGGGCTTCCCCTCAGCAGCCGCCGCCGGCCCAGCCCCGCCGCTCCGGGCCACCATGCAATTTCTGTTGCTTTTTAGTCGTCAGGGAAAGCTTGGACTGCAGAAATGGTATGTCCCACTAACAGACAAAGAGAAGAAAAAGATTACAAGAGAACTTGTTCAAACTGTTTTAGCAGGGAAACCGAAAATGTGCAGCTTCCGTGAGTGGCACGATCTGAAGATTGTTTACAAAAGATATGCTGGTCTGTATTTTTGCTGTGCTATTGAGGATCAGGACAATGAACTAATTGCCCTGGAAATAATTCATCGTTATGTGGAAATTACTTGACAAGTATTTTGGCAGTGTGTGTGAACTTGATATCATCTTTAATTTTGAGAAGGCTTATTTTATTTTAGATGAGTTTCTTTTGGGAGGGGAAGTTCAGGAAACATCCAAGAAAAGTGTCCTTAAAGCAATTGAGCAGGCCGACCTACTGCAGGAGAAAACAGAGAATATGTATCACAGCAGAGTTCATTGGGGTGTAAGAGCGTACTAGAATACGTGCTGGAGTACAGACATGCATCAAAATCCACGTCATGAATATTTTAATGTCCCTGTGTACTAAATGACTACTCATCGAGTATGCAGAATTTCACAGAGGAAATAGAGTGCTGATATGCATATGAAAGAAAATGTCCTCAGCTTGGTGACCGATTATCTTGTATGATAATAATAGAATATTTCAGAACCAGTACCTTTATGATTGTATTTTTTTCCTATTCTCATTCTTAATTCTTGTCCATTTTATTTTCATTCTATATGTGATCTTACATAGCTTATTCCTGTCCGAAACTGATTTTATCTCATTTTGACAAAATATGGCTGTGAGTGTTTTGAGAATATTTCATTTTAACACATACATGTTATCATTAATGAACCTCTGTGACTAATCTTATAAGAAGAAAACTTGGCATCATTAACATGTTTACCAAGAAAATATAGCTGAAGTGCTAGTCAAAATAAGCAGTGCATAATATATAATAGTGTAGTTCAAAATTGGGAGGCAGGGTGATTTATCTTACAATCTATATGAGCTAATGTGTTCTAATGTATCATATAAAAGTGTATGTGGAAAAATACAAGAAAGTAAATTGATCTGTACTATTGTATATTTAAAGTTAAACTTTCAGTTTTTAGGAACTTGAGCACCACATTTATTGAATCACATTTGTGCTATATAATAATATCAAACAATCCCTTTAAGATTTACAGAAGCTATGTCTGAAAAGTCTCTTTCTGCAATATCTGTTGCTATAGTAGCTTTTTCAAAATATTAATGCTGAGTTTTTTTATAGTCAAAAATTCCTATTTTGAAAGGAATCTATTCTAAAAGAAAAAATCATAATGTTAAGTTTTAATACCTAAAGACATATTTTACTAGTTATGGCTTTCTAATATATTAAGTCTGCATTTAAATACTTAATGCTTTATTAACTGTGGCTTTATATTTCTGAATATTAAACTTTTAATTTGTCACTATTGTATATTTTATAAAACATATGCATGTTTTATTACAAAAGAAAAAGTACCAATAATCATTGTTTATATCTAGAGATCTAAAGCCTGAGTTTAGTAAGTTATTAAACTACTAACTTCAGAACATGATCAAACAGGTTTACCACTGAAAGAAGACCTATGAAAATGTGTTTGACCAAACTTAGTATTGGCAGGTATACAGATGAGTTCTTTCCATTCTAAACTCCTTGCTGTATGTACTACATTTGAAGCACCTGGATGTGCTATCAAATGTGAATTTAGCATTATACATTTGAAGCATTGAGAAACATTGGTCTTTCATCTTCATTTGTTTCCTCCATCCTTCCTCGCCCCACAATATGTTCATCCTCTGGTTTTATGCTACATAAATATGCATTGTCTCATGCCTGTTTGCTTTGGATGCTGTGTGCTGAGCTGTAAACCAAATGGTTGCTCTTTTTCCTGTTTCTGTATACAGGCTGCTTGCTTTAAAATTAGCTAGATTGCTGAAATAGCTTTCCTTGCATGTCTAAAATAAAAATATCGCATGTAAAAAAAAAAAAAGAAAGAAAAGAAACAGTATGTCCACCTCCAATGGAGCAGCACCCTGGACGATTTTCAAAGACAAAACTGGCTAACACTTGCACAGGGTTTACTTTGTGCCAGACACTGTTCTATAGGCTTTACATATATGAATTTATTTAATCATTACAACAAACTGAAGAGGTAGGAACCATTATTACCATCTCTACTTTACCAATGTGGAAACTGAGGCACAATGGGGCCAAGTAATTTGCTCAAGATCACACAGGCAGTAAATGGTAAAGCCTGGGCTGGAACTCAGGCCGTCTGGCTCTAGAGTCCATGCCCTCAATTCCTGGACTCTGATACCTGTTTTAAATATGTTTATTTTTATGTCTTACACTATCCACCTTGTGAGCTGTGACTCTACAGTAGTGGAAGTGGTGGTGTGTGACAGTGGTAGTGGTGGTGGTGAGGTGGGTGGCAGTGGTAGGGTGGTGGTGAGGTGGGTGGCAGTGGTAAGGGTGGTGGTGAGGTGGGTGGCAGTGGTAGGGTGGTGGTGAGGTGGGTGGCAGTGGTAGTGACAGTGGGGCAGTGGGTGGCAGTGGTAGTGGCGGTGGGCAGTGGGTGGCAGTGGTAGTGGCGGTGGGGCAGTGGGTGGCAGTGGTAGTGGCGTGGGGCAGTGGGTGGCAGTGGTAGTGGCGGTGGGGCAGTGGGTGGCAGTGGTAGTGGTGGTGAGGTGGGTGGCAGTGGTAGGGGTGGTGGTGAGGTGGGTGGCAGTGGTAGGGGTGGTGGTGAGGTGGGTGGCAGTGTAGGGTGGTGGTGAGGTGGGTGGCAGTGGTAGGGTGGTGGTGAGGTGGGTGTCATGGTGGGTGGTAGTGAGGTGGGTGGCAGTGTAGGGTGGTGTGGAGGTGGGTGGCCAGTG